TTATTGATCTAATTGTTCCAAGTTGAATATAGGTACAGATGAAATGCCTGGTCTGAAGCCGACTGGCAGCTAATACTAAATGAATACTGAAAATATAAGTACTAATAAAATGGAATCAAGTGGTATTACTAAGTTAAATGATAATAATGAAAATAAAAGTACCTTAAGTCCATGTTCCTCAGCAGCACACACAGAGTCCGTAGAAATACATAGTACAGTGGTGTGCGTCTTAGTGTGTGAAAGTCTATGTTCATATTATACTGAGAGCGGATATCTTGCATCATACGCACGAATATTACCGTGCATTTCACGGTGGTCGTATTTCATAGCTGTGTTTGTTCAGTGTTGTAATAATCTTTATGGCCTGGAGCTTTTATCATACTGTAAAACACATTGAAATAACTACATGTCATTTAGCGAATTTGACTCAATACATGAATTAACATAATCTTAATTTAGCTAAAATTCCAACAATCTCATTGTGAGAGTATTTTTTATTCTAAATTAGCGACATCTTGAATTACAAGTTAGCTGAATTAGCTAAAATGACATGTTAGCTGAAAAGACGTGTTTCACAATACTTATGTGAAAAAAAATCTATAGTACCGGTAAGTACCGGGCTACAGTGGGGCCTTTTTACTTTTTTACGACGCAAACGCGTTTTCTCTAACCACTCTCACACAATGTATATATACATATACAAATTACGTTTCAATTGAACAGCAGTTAAACGTAAATTTATGACAATATTTTAACGGTAATAAATACGAACTCATTAGAAACTTTCTTAAGAATGAACACTACATTCCAGCTAAGTTGGTAATTTACTGACTTGTTCGAATACATAACAAACGGGCGTTTTCTTGGGGCCGATTTGATTTACAGTTGTAGATTCGGACGTATCTCGACTAAGAATATCTCTTATATCTGAAATGCGCCGAATATGAGACAGTATGTAGTGTTGCCTTCATGATTTCTTGTAGTGAAATGCCGGCTTTTATCAGGGTTTGTACAGTCGTCTTTCAAACGGAATGGTTTGTTTTTCTTCCGGTAAAGTACATGGAAGCGCAGCTCGGGCATAAATGATGCTATCTTGTTTTCCCCATCTGACTAAGAAAATACCACAAAAGTGAATTGACACAAGATGCAGTAATTGATTGAATATATAAAACGGGCAGTTGAGCGCGCATGTTTTTATCGGACGGTGTCGAACATCCTGTCTATAAATTCGTACTTGGTCCCTGGAACTGCCGGGAAGGGCAAACATACGGGCAGAAACCTCACGCTGATCACTGTAGGATTTGAGTACGAAAGAAATGCAACCAGACGACACTGATTACCGGTGTAGAACTACTTTATTTCACCTATGACACTGATACATGATATTCTAATTAAAGTACATTTGAACTATAGAGGGCGCTATGTCATCATGACATTATGATGAGTATATAAACATTACATCCCTTTCCACCTTGAATAAAACGAGTATAGTGGTAAATCAGGCATTATATGTTGTTGTCAAGCGTCATCTTT